TGTGTGTGTGTGTGTGTGTGTGTGTGTGTGTGTGTGTGTGTGTGTGTGTGTGTGTGTGTGTGTGTGTGTGTGTGTGTGTGTGTGTGTGTGTGTGTGTGTGTGTGTGTGTGTGTGTGTGTGTGTGTGTGTGTGTGTGTGTGTGCCATTATAATTGCTGATGCACGGTAAGGGAGTTTCGCTAATGTAATCAAACGATGATGTGCAGCTTGTCGGTATATCTTATTGACTTTCGCGTGTATCTCGCATCGCAACAGGTGCGTAGTTCTCACCGCTTTATTGCGTTTTTGCGTCACCGTCAGTGATAACGTCATCGCCGCGTCACCGGTGACGCGGCGATGACGTTATTGCTGACTGACGTTATTGCTGACTCGCTGCGTCACCGTCAGCAATAACGTCATCGCCGCGTCACCGTCAGCAATAACATCATCGCCGCGTCACCGTCAGCAATAACGTCATGGCCGCGTCACCGTTAGCAATAATTTGAAACCAGATCGATGCTGCGTCGGCGTTTACCATGGTAACCGGATCGAGGCAGCGACGGCGTTTACCATGGTAACCGGATCGAGGCTGCGTTGGCGTTCACCATGGTAACCGGATCGAGGCTGCGTCGGCGTTCACCATGGTAACCGGATCGAGGCTGCGTCGGCGTTCATCATGGTAACCGGATCGAGGCAGCGACGGCTTTTACCATGGTAACCGGATCAGAACGCACTGACGAGTGCGTACGTGCGTGCGTGCGTGCGGGCGTGCGTGCGTGCGTGCGTACGTGCGTGCGTGCGTGCGTACAAATGCTGTACACCTGTGACCGGTGGTGGTGTTGATAACGTGTCGAGCTCTAGCCTCGCCGGGGTTCCGGTGAAAAGAGGAGGAGGGGGATGAGGAGTAGGAAGAGGGGGTAGGAGGAGGAGGAGGAGGAGGAGGAGGAGGAGGAGGAGGAGGAGGAGGAGGAGGAGGAGGAGGAGGAGGAGGAGGGGAGGAGGGGGGAGGAGACGCCGCGGGAGACACAGCCATTACTGAGGTTGCATGCCACGTCCGGCTACACTAGTTAACATGTCTAAGTGTTCGCTCCTGCCGCCGCTGCTGCTTGCCGTATGTGTGTGTGATGCCCGCATGATCGTAAACGCTACTCGTAAACGCTTTCTTTCTTTTTTCTCGCTTTCGATCCAGTGGCTGGAAGCGGATCGGCGTCGAATGATAATCGTATGCAAATAATCCCACTGTGCCAATTATCCCCCCTCCTCCATTTGCATTCGTTTACAGAAGTCCTTATGATATGATGGGGAGGTAGATAGGTACAGCGCGCGCGCGCGAGAGAGAGAGAGGACCTTGGAGAAAGCAGAAGAGAGAGAGAGAGAATTAGAGTGCGCGCCAGCAAGAAAGAGAGAAGGACAGAGAGAGAGAGTGAGTAAGTGAAATTGCTACGAACGTCGCACCACGTACTTAGAGAATGGCGCAGCAGTAAAATAATAATCAGCGCTGCAGACGCTGACAAGACGGAGGAGTTCGCAAAAGAAATTAGCTCAACTAAAATAAAACCCCGGCTAATACGATGAATGCGAGACGCAAGCGGAAGCGCAATAACTCGAAAGCGGACAATTTGTTGCGTAACCGGTAGAATGCACGGTTAAAAATGAAATGGAAAAAAAGTTAGACGATCGGAAAAGGAAATTATCGCTGCTGCTGCTACTGCTTCTATACTGTGTGTGTGCGTGCGTGTGTGTGTGTGTGTGTGTGTGTGTGTGTGTGTGTGTGTGTGTGTGTGTGTGTGTGTGTGTGTGTGTGTGTGTGTGTGTGTGTGTGTGTGTGTGTGTGTGCGTGCGTGCGTGTGTGTGTGCGTGCGCGTGCGCGTGTACGCGCGCACACATTAGCACCGCACTTACACCAACATGTTTTGCTTGCATCTATGCATGACAAATACGACGTACGCATATACGCTCTCCTATGACACTATTTTTCATGGGAAGATTCTTTCTATGACAAATATTGGCGAGTCAACTTCGTTCCGCTTTACAACTGAAATTCACCGCTTGCGTTCATAATAGCGCTCCTAAACTCCTATGATGCGCACAACACATACAACAATATTTGTCATAGGAAGAATCTTCCTATGACAAATAGTGTCATAGAAGAGCGTATATGCGTATGTCGTATTTGTCATAGATTCTAGCAGAACAGGCTGTATACACTTAACTCCACACATACCTGCACATCTTTCGGGTTCCTTGCATGCGTCCTGCCCATAACATATATCCTGGCGCAACTCCTCTGCACTCAACACTAATTCTCGCTTCTATCGTTAAGAAGTTGAAACAAACTTCCCGTATTTAGGCAGATGCCAACGCGTGCCTTCCCGTGCGCGCGCGTACACGCACGCACGCACACTCGATCCCTCAAGCACTCCAACACAATCCCGTCAAAGTTCTAGCACTCTCGTAGCCCCAACTCACTCACTGCTGGCAGTTGTGTCTGCCTGCGTTCTGGCCATGCAGCTTGTGGTGAGTGAGGCTGTATATACCGGCTGCGTGCCCTGTTTGCTTGAGATCTAGATCCAGCATGCGTGCGTGCGTGCGTGCGTTGGGGGAACCGAACACCCCCTCGCTCGCTCGCTGAAGAAACAACTATATAATACCGCCTTCTGCAGCACGCGCGCACATGATCTTATCTATCCCAGTGTGAGCTGCCTGCCTGCTTGCCTGCCTGCCTGCCTGCCTGCCTGCCAGCCTGCCTGCCTGCACCCTGGTCTCAGTCCACTCCTTCACTCACTTATAGTGCTTTTCGGAGAACGGTCTGGTCACAGCGCGCGCGTGTGTGTAGAGGGTGGGGAAGAACACCAGCATTTCCTATCTTATATAGCGTACGCGTCCCGTAATGGCAAGAGACAATTTGTCAATGAGCTATATATGCGCTTTACCTTATATATATATATAATAAACAATAATAAAAAATAAAATAAATAAGAGACAAAATTAGCCAATCAGAGCCGTCCCCTAGCGGATCACTATCTCTCCCCTGTGCAAAATTCAAAGAATTTCAGCTTTAAGCCGTTTAGTTCCGGTTAAACATACTTAAGATTAATTATAATTATAGTTTTCCTTTAGGCAGTGGATGAAAGCCATAGTAGCGGGTTCGTTATTGTAGTACATGGAGATTTTTAGGGATTTAGTGTAGAGTGGCGGCTTTACTACGTTACAGTATCAGAATTGTTCTATATTAAAGGGTATATAGATAGTATATCGTATATAGAAGGCTCATAATACACATTTTCACTGATTTTAGTGTAAAAGCTCGAACTCGTTATATTAAATTTGGGTTTACAGCGCATATTAGAACACAGCACGTGCGTAGATGATCAGGGCATCTCATAACTATTTTTCCGTTTTTATTTAACCTTTCAGCGATTGTCTATGTTCGAGGCGGCCATCTTTGATATCACAAACCACCCAAGAGAGACAAACTCACACGCACATAGAAATCATTATTACACTCTCATCAAAAACATTATTTATCAGCAAAGAAAACATCGCGTACGAGAGAATTTTGTGTTAAGTCAACATTCTCCTCTCTGCTATCAGAATGCAGTGGTGTTCCAAGTCAATGTAACACATCTTGCCCCCGTCATCTGCTGACATTACTGTCTTCTTGACGGAATCATAATATCGAAAGCTGGCACCCGCGGCTTTATGTGTTTATGTTGATGAAACGCGAGCAAACGGGTTAATCAACCGTGAGAAACAGCGTCTATTTTTAATTAACGGGAACTATGTCGTTGTCAGGGCAATGACTGATACTCGTACACTGAGAGTTTTTACATTGTTTTTGTTCATTCGTTTGCTCTCAGGAAATGTCTCTAACGGGCTTGCAGTTAGAGTACTTAAAAGTACCGCTCGTTCATTGGTTATCAGGGGGTAAAACCATGAGACCGTGATAAAACCTCGTGATTGGGTTCTAAAACCTGCCGGTCCGTGTTCCATATGCTTATATTCAGCTGTACATCAATCCTTGCTGAGCAATACACAAAGTTATTCGGACCATTCTAGATGGCACTCACAAATATAACGAGGCGTCACCGTGGTCGCAACAGCTCTACAGCTACCATGCAGTCCCCGCTCACATGCAACCCCCAGCAGGAGTAAAAGAAACACGCGCGTCTGGCTATATCGTGAGCTAATGCGAAACCTTCCTATAGGTTTGTATTACGTAAGTGGCGTAACCATAAACCATAACGTTAATCTTAGCTGCTGCTGCTGCTGATGCTATCTACGGGCGTCTGCTGCTCCTACGGCCGTGTAAGTGACTGAGACAGCCTTCGGACAACAATACATGCAACGATACAACGATACAACCACAACGATACAACGATACAATGATACAACGAAACAACGATACAACTATGCAACAATACAGCGATACAATGATACAACGATACAACAATACAACGATACAATGATACAACGATACAACGATACAACGATACAATGATACAATGATACAATGATACAATGATACAACGATACAACGATACAACGATACACCGATACAACGATACAATGATACAACGAGATACTGGATA